GGGGAGGTGGTGGATTCACCGTCCCTGCCCTGGAGGTAGCTGAGACTGGATGTGGCACTTAGTGCCATGGTCTAGTAACCACAGTAGGGTTGAGGTTGATGATCTTGGAGGTCTATTCCAACCCGTCTGATTCTATGATTCTATGATTCTATGATTCTGGAATATATTCCACTTTCAGAAGTGACTTTTGATACTTGAGAATTTGAGTCTCACCACAGAAAGAAAATTAAACATGGTTCATGGAGCATCCTAGTGACAGTAGCACAATGAAATATGGAGTTTAGTCTCCCGACGGTTGATGATCTTGGAGGTCTATTCCAACCCGTCTGATTCTATGATTCTATGATTCTATGATTCTGGAATATATTCCACTTTCAGAAGTGACTTTTGATACTTGAGAATTTGAGTCTCACCACAGAAAGAAAATTAAACATGGTTCATGGAGCATCCTAGTGACAGTAGCACAATGAAATATGGAGTTTAGTCTCCCGACTTATTTTAGAATTTGTAGAAATATTTTGTTTAGCTTTTACTGAAGAAATGAAAATGGTCGAGTTTGCCACTTCAATATTTAACAAACAAAAAATGTGGCTAAAAATGTTCTTTTACTTTCTCTGCTTTTGAGCATATCTGTGTGATCTCAGTAGTTTTAAGTTAATGATGTAAGGCTTGAGGAAAGATTGAGTTAGTAAGAAACAATTTTGTTGTAATTTTCTGATCCGCTATTCCAAATGAGTAGCATTTTGGAATTCTGATCTCCAAATCTATAAAAAACATAGGGAAAAAGATTGTGTTTCTTACTTCTACCTCAGAGTCATAAAATTCTGGGAATGACAAACACAAATGTTTTTGTTTTGGCTGAAAGTGAAACAATGTACAATACACCTGAAGTTTAATTTAGAAACAGGATTTTAGATGACTTTCCAACTCAGAGATCTCCCACTATTACAAGAAACTAGTGTCAGGAAAGGTTTCTGTCTCTAATGAAGATTATTTTTTCTTCCTCTTTCCCACTTCCCATTTCCTGTCAGTCGGAAGTGTCTTGGATCCCCAACAAACACTACTCTGGGATTTACGGGCTGATGAAGTTGGTTCTGACTAAGACTCTACCTTCCAATCTTGAGCGAGTCATTGTCCTCGACACAGACATTACCTTTGCCACTGACATTGCTGAGCTCTGGGCCGTCTTTCACAAGTTCAAAGGTATTCCAATGACTTTTTTACTGTCCTTATTTGAGGGGGGAGGGAGAATGTTAAAGTAAAGAATACACTGGGTGTGAAAGGACTTTCTGAGATTTGTGAAATGTTTTCACTCTTTCAGGTTTTGGTGTTTGAATATAATTGTTCTCTTTGTGAGCTCTTTTCTCAGTGATGCACCTTATAGAATGATAGAAAACACAGATTATTAGTTTGTTTTATTGATCTGATTATTTGGGACCAGTGAGAGCTTGACATTACAGCAGATGATAAAGAATTATGAGCATGCTTTAGCAATGTACCATTCTCTTGGTACTTGGAAGAACTTGGATTTTCTTGGGTTTTTTATTAATAAAAATTATTACTTCAGTGTAACTTTTCAATGTTACCACTTGAAAAATGAATGAAGTAAGGCTCATTCTTGGACCAGGGAGGAGGATGAAGGGAGCAGAGTTATACATGTGATTAGAAATGAGTTGCTGCTTGCTTCTCTTAATGAGTTGATAAAGAGTCCTGGATTTTTAAGTATCCACCTCGAGTAGTTTTCTCTACCTATCCCCATTTCCCACAGCTCCTTGAAAATCCATAGTTTGACCAAGAAAGGAGACTTTCAGAGTAACTGTGTAAGAAGATTACCACAAAAAAATTCCCCACTACATTGTCACAAACCAGAGCACTTTCCAGGGTAGCACACTGCTAAAACCATTGAATTCTCCCTGGTTCCAGTGTTGCCAGCTGTTCAGAGTCAGAGACATTCCCTATTGTTCTCCTCTTGCCCTCAGAATATGTATTGCAGCGCAGAGGTATTCCAGCATCCTGGTTTGAAGGTTTGCAACCCTGTAAAAGTGTAACCCTGATGCATTTCATCAGTTTTCCCACAATCACCTCAAGCAAAGTCAGCCTAAGCAAATGGGAGGTTGTTTTTCACAGAGGCCAAAATGTACCGCTCCATTCGAGAGGTGACAGAAAAGAGAGCACATCTACTGTACTTATCCACTGCTGAAATCCACAAGGCCTCTTTGCCTTTCCCAGTACCCAGCTAATAGGCAGGACCTATTACCTTCAGCTCTAAAGTCAAGGACTTACTTCCCCATGCATTTGTTTCCTTTCTCTTTTGTGGATACATCAATGTCCTTTCAGCAAGCCAGAAACAATCACCTTTTTATTCAACTGAATTATTCACAAGTTTTCTTCATTAAGTAATATATAGTTTTTATTCCTCTTTAGGTATTGTTCAGACCTCTTCACCAAGTCTTTCCCTCCACTGAACCTTGAGTTTCATGTAAACATATACCTTGAAAACCATAAGTAGCATAAATGTATGCATCAGCCGTCATGCTATACTATTGTACTGTCTCACTGTGTGCTGCTGTCCCATAATAGCAGTATTTTACTGAATATGGTGTATTGGCATGATGGAGCAGGTAAAGAAGTGTGTATAAACTGGACTTGAGCATAGAGGACTACATGGTCAAAGAGTGCAAAATCTGAATTGAGACAATGAGGGGAGTCATTGCCTTGCTTATATTTTCTGCCATAATTTCAATGTAGGTTGCTTGAAACCAAGCATAAAGATTACTTGTAAAGAAAGGAACATGAAGCAGAGGCAGACTGAAAGACTGAAAGAAAGTACAGACAGAAAATATGAAAACGTAGGGAAGAATAGTTACTGGAAGTAAAAAAGTGGAGTTAAGTCAGACTCCACAGAGCTAGGCAAGATTGTTCGTCTGATTAGAGCTGTGAAAAGCTCTAACTTACACATGGAGACAGAATTCCTGTGTTCCTACCAGCTCTCATATAGCACAACTCCCAAATGTATGATTTTGTAAGTTGTTCAGTGTGTCTTTTTAATTCCAGCTGACTACCTGCCTCTTCACAACTTTTTAATCCTGGCAATAAATTCATCCGGGTCTACATCAGCTCCGAGGCAATCGGGCACAAAGAATGTATTGGTAGGACAATTCCATGGCACCTGGAGTTGAGCCAGGATGGGAGAGGACTTTAGATCCTAAATGTTGGAGAGGAGAGAGAAATTAAAGAACAAGCACAGGCTTGTTCTCCAGCCTGTGTCATAGGCTGCAGTTCCATTAGCAACGAAAACCTTTATAATGGTGCTGAGTTTTGAGTGTTTATGGGTAAGAATCAGAGGGAAAGTCAACAAGGCACATATCATGGTGGGAGTCTGTTGTAGACCACCCAACCGGATTGAAGAGGCAGAAGAAATATTCTGTAAGCAGCTGGGAGAAGTCTAAAAATTGCTAGCCCTTGTTCTTATGGAGGGTTTGAACTTAGCAGATGTCTGCTGAGAATACAACACACTGGAGAAGAAACAGTCCAGGAAGTTCCTGGAGTGTGCGGAAGATAATTTCCTGACACGGCTGGTAAGAGAGCCAACGAGGGAAGGTACCCTGCAGTATCAGCAGTCCTGGCTAAACAGGGAGGTCCTAGTGGACTGGAGGTTAATAAATGTGATGCCCATCTATGAGCAGGAGGATCAAGAGAATTACGTGCCTCTCAGCCTGACCTCAGTGCCAGAGAAGGTCATGGAGCAGGTCACCTTGAGTGCCATCACATGGCACATGCAGGACAACCAGGGGATCAGGCCCTATCAGCATGGGTTTATGAAAGGCAGGTCCTGTTTGACCAACCTGATCTCCTTCTGTGGCAAGGTGACCTGCCTAGTGGATGAGAGAAAGGCTATAGACATTGTCTGCCTAAAATTTATTAAAGCCTTTGATGCTGTCTCCCACAGCATTCTCCTGGTGAAACTAGCTGCTCATGGCTTGGATGGGTGCACTGTTCTCTGGGGAAAAAAATGGCTGGATGGCTGAGCCTAGTAAGTGGTGGTGGTGAACAGAGGTAAATCCAGCTGGTGGCCACTCACAAGTGGTGTTGCCCAGGGCTCAGTATTGGGGCTAGTTTGGTTGAATATCTTTATCAGTGATCTAGGTGAGGAGATCAGTGCACCATCAATAAGTCCAGAGATGAGACCAAGCTGGATGGGAGTGTTGATCTGCTGGAGTGCAGGAAGACTCTGCAGAAGGATCTGGACCAGTACTGTGAGTTTCAACAAGGCAAAGTGCTGGGTCCAGGACATGGGTTACAACATTCCCCATGCAGTGCTACAGGCTAGGGGCAGAGTGATTGCAAAACTGCACAGCAGAAGGGGACCTGGGGATGCTGGTTGACAGCTGCTGAACATGAGCCAGCAGCATGCCTGGATGGCGAAGAAGCCCAACGGCATCCTGGCTTATATCAGAAATAGTGTGGCCAGCAGGACCAGGGCAATGATCTGTACTTAGCTCTGGTGAGACATCTTGAATCCTGTGTTCCATTTTGGGCCCCTCACTACAAGAAAGACATTGAGGTGCTGGAGTGTGTCCAGAGAAGGGCAATGAAGCTGGTGAAGGGTCTAGAACACAAGTGCTGTGAGGAGAGGGTGAGAGAGCTGGGATTGTTTAGACTGGAGAAAAGGAAGCTCAGGGGAGACCTTATTGCTCCGTACAACTCCCTGAAAGGAGGTTGTAGCCCAGTGGGGGTCTGTCTCTTCTCCCAAGTAACAAACAGTAGGACAAAAATGGCCTCAAGTTGCCATTGGGAGGTTTAGATTGGATATTAGGAAAAATTTCTTCATGGAAAGGGTTGTCAAGCATTGGAACAGGCTGCCCAGGAAGTAGTGGAGTCACCATCTCTGGAGGTGTTTAAAAACTGTGTAGATGTAGCACTTGGGGACATAGTTTAGTGGCAGACTTGATAGCACTAGTTTAATGGTTGGGCATAAAGGTCTTTTTCATCCTAAATTATGATATCATTCTGTCACTCAATGGACATGGAAGGCAGGTCAAATAAGTTGGGGAGATACTGATACTCTCTAATTCCTTTGTAAAAGGTCGGTTTAAATTATATTGTGATTCTCAGTTTTTCCCAAGTTCCTTTCTATTTATCCTGCCAGCATTACAAAAGATTCAAGTATTGTCTCATGTTATCAGCCCCAAATATTCCTCTAAAGGATTTTTTTCTAATGTTTTAATCTCCTTGTTTCTCTCTCAGAAGTCCCAGGTAAGTTTATGAAGATTTCTTTGGGACAATCCAGTATGTTTGTTGAAATACTACTAAAAGAGAAGAGTAATAATGCTCCTATGAAGGGAAATGCTACTCTCCAAAGGAACATGACACTATACTCAAATCCAGCTTGGAGGGCAGCTTTAGACCCACTGGGGCTCCTTCTAGAAATGTTCAAACACATAGTTGTTAACAAGAAGCTGTCATTATAAACCTGATTACACCAGGATGCTTTTTGAGCCAATAGAAGAATATTTCACATCAGTGCAGGAAAGGGAAGAGCTTCCATCTGCAGGTTGCTGCAGGATAACTGATGAGGTATCCCAGCCCAACCTATTCCAAATTGCAGCCACACAGACAGATAGAAGGTCCTAGAGTTTGTGATTCCTTCTGTGCCCAGGAAGACTTTTCTTTGCAACAAAAATAGTGACAAAGGGAGACCAGTAGCTCAGATTCCTTTTTTTCTCTGACACCATGCTTGGAAGAAACTCAGATTCAGGACTAGCTTGCAATTTAACCAGGTCCAATTTGCTGTGTAGTATATTTTAAATAGCACCTGCAATACCCAGAATCCTTGTTCTGCAAAGGTTCCTCTTCCAGTCATCTGAAGAGTCACCGGAAAGATCAGGCTCTTACAAAGTAACTTAGTATTTTAGGTGATAAAGGTACTATTACATTCACTCTGTAGATGAAAAGAAAAAAAAGGATATAGAGTTTCTTTCTATTATTATTGCTCTTCTGCCCTTTTCTGGTAAGCTCTTTGCATATGTCCTTACAATAAAGGATCCAGATGTTCTGTAGCTGAGTGCAGAAATTTGAAAAATCTCTTAATTTGATGTGGCAAACTTAGGCTTTGGGAGAAATTCACACCACTCTTTGGTCACCTGAAACAGTGTCTCAAGCAATGGAGCATTTAAAAATTTCTCTTAGCAATGGAGGTTGCA